GGACCTGGCCTAGGGAGGATTTTATACTGGGTTCATTTTAAGGAATTTGAAATAACACAACTTTAAAATTTGGTTTAATTCGGTTTTACAGGGGGGGATTGTATATATGCCTTTGTTTTAAATATGTTGTGCGCCGCCCTGAGTCCCGCCGGGAGAAGGGCGGCATATAAATTGAATTAAATAAATAAATAAATAAACTGTGGATGAACAAAGACTTTATTCAGTGGTTGGAAAAAGAAAGGAAGGCCCGAATTTTGATTTAGTTTATTAAAAGAAGAAAAGCAGTTATTAGATGTGATAGTTACTTGTATCCTTCTGCTCTGTTGCAGGAAACTGTGCAAGTTGTTCTGCCACTTTCTCTGTCTTGAAGAAGAGGGTGAGTCTTTTCTCCAGCCCATCAACTCCCTGCCTGTCCTGTTCCATTTGCTTCTCTACCTGCTTCATCATCTTCTTGTGGATCTCTGCAGCCTGCTCACTCACTCATCTTCTTGCGTCTTTTCCTTCTTTAGCGAAGCTGCAGTAACTGTGGGAACAGTTTTTGCTCCAGGTGCTGTTCTTTCAAAATTCCCAAGAGCTACATGGGGGCTACAGGTAAGTGAATACCCCCCCCCAAAAAAAAGAGAGAGAGAGATGGGACAGAAGGGAGAATCGTTTAGGTAAAAGTCCTGTGAGTGGGTATTTTCCTTTCCCATTGGAGGTCAGGGGAAATCGAGACCTGCTATAGTGGGAGATAATAGATGTTCTGAAGATGTGACATGCCTGAAAAGGCGTAAAGGTAGTCCTTGACTTACGACCACAATGGAGCCTAAAATTTCTATTGCTAAGCAAGACAGTTGTTACAGTACGTGAATTTTGACCCATTTTACAACCTTTATTGCCACAATTGTTAATGTGAATCACTGCAGTTGTCCATTGCCAAGCAACTGAATTTGGATTGTGTGACCATAGGGATGCTGCAACAGCCGTAAGTGTGAAAAACGGTCATAAGTCACTTTTTTTCCAGCGTCATTGTAACTTTGAATGGTCATTAAATAATCTGTTGTAAGTCGAGGACTACCTGTAGTGAGTGGGAAGCTGCATGAGCTTTGGTTAGTTCTGAAATTCTGATTGGTGTTTCTGATTGCAGCCCCAGATGCCCAGCGGGAGACTGTCTTCGTATGTGGGCAGTGTAACCAAGCACTCACCAAGTGAGGAGCCGTTATGGAATCCAGTCTTTGGATGAATCTGCTGGGGATCTTACACTACACTGGTTGCTACTTGAAGGGAGACAAGCAACAGCACTGCTTCTTTTCTTCCTCCCTATACTTGTAAAAAAAAAAGGGAGGGCCAGCACATGTAACCTGCTGATTGCTCTGTGTGCTCCTGCTCTCTTTCTTGAAAGCAATTGAGGAGGTTATTGCAATCCTGGTTGTGTGGAGGATTCTTCATGCACTAAACTACTGTAGGCTTCCTTCCCTTCTCCCAATTCCAAGAGCAAACATTATTTCATTTCTAGTCTGTGGCCCCAATTTTTTTCTGGAGCTTGGCCGACAGGAGGGTTGGCTGTTCTCACTCTTGGCACTTGAATTCCTCAGACCTCTCAAAGTGTTTACTATTGCTGAGGTGCCATCCCTTTCTTTCTGTGTGTTTGTGTGTTCTGAACTGAAGGCTGGGTCTTGTGTTCAGATGATGGTGATAGTTGGCTCTGAGAGCAGGCTTTTTAGGGCCAAGAAGACCAGTTGTGGTTGTCCAACCGGTGAGGTAGCTGGATCTACATTTTCTGCCTATCTCAGGTGGGGATAGTGTTTCTCTTTTTCCACTTCCATGCCACTGACTTTGTGTTGTTAGTTTTTATCTAAAGTTCCCTATCATGGTCAGACTAGGGCAGGGGTAGGCAACCTTGGCTCTTTTATGACTCGTGGACTTCAACTCCTAGAATTCCTGGCTCAGGAATTCTGGGAGTTGAAGTCCATGA